TATTTAATAATTCAAATATTCACATTGTCATCCATTGCTACGATGTTGTTTTCGATGTTTTCCCATTATTTGAAAATCACTTCAGTTTCATTTAACTCCCGTTATAACATAGCTCCAATGTATTTCACAATCCCGCATTAGTTCGTCACTTGCTAGTATCAACATACTTTAAAGAATTTGAATACAATTATAGTAACTGTTTTCCGCTTTTAATCTGCCTAATTGTAAGATACCTATATATTATTAATAATACTTGAATCATATTTCTCACATTAACACTTGCATTCGCTATCTGATGGCAGTTAGAAGACTAGGAAAGAACACTAGTATCGTAGCGAATTCATGTCGAATCTAAATGAATGAACTGCTTGATTCGTTGTACCGATCAAACCGATCTAATGTTTGAATCATTTTAGATCAACCAAGGCTATCAGTTGCTATCGCAAATCGTTCCAACAGCACCGTCTCGCAAACTCAGCAAGCTAGAAACCCTTCGTGAGGCAGTCCGATATATTCGCCAGCTTCAAAATGTCCTGCAAGAAAGTGACTCTGGACCAGCATCGCCTGACTTCGACTATTATCAACCACCTTTGCATCAAGAGTCCCAGCAGCCATCTACATACGTGCCGAGTTCGAGTAATCAGTTACCACCGCTGAATGAGTCTATTTTGCTGAACTATCAAAGATCCAACTATGACCAAACTTCTACAATGAATTACTGGGACCAGAATGATAGTTATTCATATGATTACGATCAGGCATATCCAATGAATTCATCGAATTCATCTGAATTCACATCAAATTGCATTATTTATTAAATCGTAATTGAACGAATGTTCAACCTCATATCTGTAATATATCATTCAATTTTGTTTTGGTTCATGCGCTATTGTTCGATGTTGATATCGTAGTAGCAGAATCGACACTCGCTTGGTGGGAAGGAGAAGGGATAGATGTGACCGAAGTGACTCTGAAAAGCGAACTGAAGACCAGAATCCATAGAGAATTTGAGGCAGAAATAACAGTGCTCACTTTTCAAGGCTCACGAGGGAAGGTCACAAATTTACCGCCGTCTTTCGGGATGAGTTGTTACCATCCTTTCGAGCTCCTGCAGCTGACAATGGATTTTTCTTTGACGTGAGTCAGTACATAGCATGAGAAGAATGATTACTAAAAAAAGCTAGAATCAGCGGTATCTATTCATATTAGTGAATGGCATGACATGTCTGGTTATTGAACGTGAGGTTTTTTGCTGGCTGTTTCGAAACATCAACGAGGTTGATTCTGCCAGCTATACGATTTTATACGGGTACATTAAGTATATGTCTTTCCTGGTGCTTTAGGTTTTTTCGTTGAAAGTTATTTGTTAATTGTTTCATAAATGTGTTCTCAAATAAAGTTCATCATCGTGATTTCTAGTCCCTTACATATATTTGTGTACAATAGTTATCGTATTAATGAGACGTAATATATTTAGTGATGTCTCTATTCCAGTTAAACTGTTATATTCCTATTCTATTCCTGTTCTGTTCCACGGTATAGAATAAACAGTTCGCAAATCAGGAAGGAACAGTTTGAACAGAATAGAGCTGTTTTTGAGCCAAAACGAACAGAACAGAACAGTTTTCAAAAACGTGGTATAGAGACATCACTGGATACATTCATTGTTCACATCTAACAATAAGAGAATACCTATCGTAATCTATTGAATTGCAATTTTTGATATCCTTCCGTTGGAAAGCTGTTCTGTTCTTGTTGGAAGCTGAATCTTCTAGTTCTTCATTGAATAACCCGAAATCTTTCCACACAGTTTACATCGTACCCGAACAATTTCTTCGAAGTTCCCTATTAATCGCATAACTTATGTTATTCATAATTAGTAGATGACATCAAGAAGGTACATCTAATTACTGCAATAAGCCAATAGAATACTTTTCATTAAGGCAATAAAATCGCTCATTAAGTGGTCTAAAACATTCATTATCTCCTTACCTCCCAATAAATGATCATAAAATTCATCGAAGTTCTATAGGCAGTTGATTGCTAAAGTAAGTAATCAGTAGTTCAATTACTGATCAATGAACACCATTTACAATCTCGCCATATCTTTACCTATAATAGCCTTACAGCAGCAGATACGATACCTTTCCTATTCAATCGGTTCTATGATTTTGCGATCGTAGATAAACCACTGGAAGCATTATAATACCATTATGATCAAAATAACTTCTTAAGTGGTCTAAAACAGTCATTATCTCCTTACCTCCCAATGAATGATCATAAAATTCATCGAAGTTCTATAGGCTAAAGTTGATTGCTAAAGTAAGTGATCAGTAATTCAATTATCGATCAGTGAACATCATTTACAATCTCGCCATACCCTTACCTATAATAGCCTTACAGCAGCAGATATGATATCCCTTCTATTCAATCAATTTTATGATCTTGCGATCGTAGATAAACCACTGGAATCATTATAATACCATTATGATCAAAATAACTTTTAAAGTGGTCTAAAACAGTCATTATCTCCTTACCTCCCAATAAATGATCATAAAATTCATCGAAGTTCTATAGGCAGTTGATTGCTAAAGTAAGTAATCAGTAATTCAATTACTGATCAATGAAAATCATTTACAATCTCGCTATACCCTTACCTATAATAGCCTTACGGCAGCAGATATGATATCCCTTCTATTCAATCAATTACATGATTTTGTGATCGTGGATAAACCACTGGAATCATTATAATACCATTATGACCATCGTTTTCATGAGCACATACCGCGCATGCCAAATAACACAGGTTGTTGTATAGAAAATAAACATATGTACCTGGGCATTGTCGACGTACTGTCCTTGCAATCAACGAATGCATGCAACATGCTTAACCCTAACTGACCTCAGAGTAATTATCCGAATCGGTTAGCTCTTTGATTCAGGCAATCAAGTAATCACAAAAGGTAATCGAATCAATTGTCATGTGGATCGATTTTCTCGTAGAGATCAAATGGACGATCAAAAAAATCGCATGAAACACAAGCGACATTCAAGCTTCTTTCATGCACGCAACGTAATTATCATCATTATTATTGTACCTCTTACTCCTACAGGTGGTGGTTCACGCCTGTTTCTTTGAGTTGTCGTTAGAACTGCAAAAACAACAGATCAACTATTGTTTTTAGATGAATAAAAATGAAAACATTATCTCAGTGATTATTACACGATGAATAATATGGATACATAGAAATAGTGGACATAAGAGATTGTTAATCGGTGCTTAGATGTAACCAAAATCATTTGTGATTCATCTGGTAACTTTGATTTTACAAAAAGTTGAAAGTTTTGTAGAGGAAGGTAGACCAGGGTTTGTTCGTTTGTCCATTTGAGCCGATATAGATTATTGAATTCAGATTACAAAACTCAGTCTTAAGTTTAGAAGTATCGCAGAATTTTATCATCATTAAAAACCTACTCGTGAGTTAACCTGCGGGGCAAATTCGTGGAAAATAAAGGAAACGAGATTAAGTGTTGGAAAAGGCCTTGAAAATAAGCATAAGTAATAATGATTGTATGAGTGTAGTTGTCCTCTTAAAATGTTATTGTCCTCTTAAAAAAAGAGTTAAATCTGAAGTCTGAAGGAAACTTTTTTCGGCAAAGTTGCGATAGATACAAAAGGTATCGGCACGTGCAATCGAGGATAAACATGGATTATAATGAAAGGAGTGCAAAGATTTCTATTGATACGTGCATTGTCGGTGTTAATGTTGTTCAGTCTCTCAACAAATCGGATAACTGATTCGAATGTGATGATTACACCACGGCACAGTATGTGGCAAGTTATTGAGCGGTTGATCTTATCAAACAGAAGTGTGGCCAATAATTATTGACACAGAACATTTTATGTGATTGATTTCTTTGAGTTACTCTGATGTGACTACATGAATATGTGATTGCTTTTTATGTGGTAGGAAAATGATTAATAGCAATGGTTTACGTGTGAAACAGGTGATTAAAGTAAACCTTATGGGGCATTGATTTTGATATGACGCAGAATAACGTCACTTGATTAGCCATGATGACTGAATACAGTCTATAACATAGACGGCTAAAGAGAATCTGTATATAGCTTGAACGACTTTCGAGCTGTTATTGCCTGGCATGAAATTGAAGGAAAGGAAAGGATTGGTAATGGGATCGGAATTGGTCAAGACAATCAACGATTTTCTGGGCTTCAACGATATTCTCTGACCTAATATCATGGTGAATAAAATTCTATTTCTCCGATCACCTAACTTAAGATAACAAGATTCTCACTGATCTTTTAACTTTTACTCGATCTCCTGGAATTAAATTTTTACAAATATCGTTGTCATCTTCATGCTTAATTTTTTGACATTCTTAAGATTCGTTCTTGGCAATGGTCTATTCTTAGTTTTGTGATGTTATTGTTTGACTTGGAAAGGTCATCATCCATCATGCATTATCTATAATACAATACGAGAAGAGTATGTTTCTCGGTTGTCTCATTGGATATAAGGCGTGGTCATTGTACTGGCGATGAGTCGAGCAACTAACTGCCCGCTTAATCAGCCAGATTCATTCAGATTATTGATGGTATTATAAGACACTCGGATCATTCTTATTGGACCAATAGATTCTAAACTGATTTATTTTTGTTGATCCTTTGAATGTGTTACTGAGTTATTCCGATTGGGCTATGTATGTGTTTCAGTGGATTTATAGCGAAATGCTGTTGATTTCGTGATATTTCGTTTTGTAAACCATCTCTCAATTTCAGACCGAACGATTTTTAGGGTCATATTGCTGAAGTTATTCTTGCCAGCACTCAGCGGCTTGCGATTTGTATAGAAGTATATCTTCATGACCCATAGTTACTTCATGAATGCCGAACGTCTCTCAGATGGTCAACTGGTCTCCCCACCAGCCTCGGATACGATCGAGCAGGTTGAAGTGGTAGAACGCCGAAATGAACGTGAACGCAAACGTGTCCATCAGGTTCGATTTTGAAGTTTCACTCAAGACTTTTAACTCAGAGTTTCTTTATTTCATTTCGTCACTCTGACCACTCGTATCCGCTTTCCTAAATGTGTTCAGACCTTTGCGGTGACAGTTCAAAAATTTGATAAGAAATTAAAATTATAATTTTGTAACCAAAATCGATATCTTTTCAATGAATCTGTGGCAGTGTTCTTGAAAGATCAATTTATTTTTATTTGTATTCGTAGAATTCAAATAGCTGATCGTTACAACTTTACAGGTGAACCAAGGATATGAACTGTTATCTAGAAAGGTACCATACTCAAAATCTAAATCGAAAAAGTTGACTAAAGTGGAGACTTTACGATACGCCGTTCAATACATACGGCACTTGGAACGTCTTCTGCGCGACTCCGAGAACACCTCCTCTTATCCATCAACTAATGAGAATTCACCAACAACGAAAAACACACTCAAGGAAATCACATCAAGCAGTCCAATAACTGATCCATATTGGCGATCGTTAACGTTGAACCTTTCGAATCATAATATGTTCGATTCGCCATATCCATATCACACTTCAGCACCTCTTTATCCACCCTGCTTCAGTTTTAGACAAATCAATGATTGAACCGCTCTAGTGGTTCTTCAGTGATCTCATAAATCTATTCATTCTTTTTAATTTCCGCATCTTCATTTGCTTCTTTATCCGTTCACCACTTTGTCGACTTATTCATTCAGCGATTAATTCTTTCATTTTTGTCGACGTTATATTTGATGATTTGATCTCATTCAGCCGTGTTCAATTGGTAACATCTTACTTATGATTTAATCTGTGTATGGGCTCGAATAATACAATAGTATTGAAGGGATGTCTAGAGGGATTGTTTGACTCGCTAAAGAGCATGCATCCTTCTTGAATAGCCATAGCAATGAGATTCCAGAGGAATTGAAATATTGAAAGCCAGATTAAATGTTGATGCAAAACCGATAATTAGCTCATTGTCAAATGTTAGAATAATATGATAACTGTTATTCTCCAAGCTACTGGCATCATGGGAAATACTTCAGAGGGTTTGAAACGAGACGGAACGAGCTGAAACCATTGAATAAATATTACTAGACTGGATGACTGCATTGGGTAAGTGTCACTTGGTTGACGCGAAAATTGTGTGAATTTGGTTCGATGTATTGTTTGTACTAAATAAGGATCAACGATAATAAGTAAGATGATAATAATAATAGCATCAATAATGAACAATAACAGTAACAGTAACAATGCAACAATGTATAAATACAGATATGTGTGAATTGTTTTCAATGTCAATGCGATTGGTTATGTGAATTCGATGAATTGACAACAATAAATGATTGTTATTAATACCAACTAATATCAATTATCAATGACCGTAAAAAAACCCATCGATTCATCGATCCATCCATGCATCGATCCCACATCAACACTCAAATCTATCTCCCCATCATCATTTCACTCAAAAGATCAACTCAAAGCAACACTCAATCAACGGATTATACACTCATCACAAATGAACCTTGGTATTGTATTGTACTCACTTGGGCACAATACCGTTCACGATCAGTTGCCCTTAGCGATCGATTTGACTAAATCAACTGAAATTGCTGATGAAATAAACATCGTGTTCATTGATGGTGTTCTACCAACTGTTGTAATTTTGTTGTAATTCACCTGTACTTTGCTACAAGAACCAGTTTACTTTGTTGTAATTCACATGCACTTGTTGTAGTACAGGCGAATCAGTGCATTGAATCTGTAAGCGAAAGTGTGGTGCAAGTACAGCAGCATTTAAGCAGATTTTTAATGAACGGTAGAAGCACAACTTTTACAGCCCTGCCTAAGAATAGCATATTTTGTATATCAAAAAAATTTCATCAAAAATAGTACATCAAAAATTAGTATATTAAAAGTAGTATATGAAAAATTCCGAATGTGACGACACCATCAGTTGTTGTATCTCAATGGATGATCATATGAAACGGCATTAATTTGTGGAAATTTCTCACTTATGAAAATCAAAAATGTTTGCCTATGTACCTCACTGGTTTTTTGCTACTGAAACCTATGCCCAGACATTCGACAGTGAAATTTCCCATAAAAAATATGATAAATGATCAGTGATGCCATATAATGGATGCACAATGTTGCGAAACTGACTGTATTGCATCAAGGAGGCGTTTGAAACCTTTTGCATGACCTGTCAATTAGTAAATAATCACTGAACTCTTTCAAAAACGTGTTCTTGAAGATTGCATAACGCCGAAACGTTGAACATCTTAAAAACCATCGCTAATTGCGCAGGTAATACTTGATCAATTGATTGATCTACCACTGAACTCTATCTTTACCTAACTCGCTCTATTTTGGGGAAATTGGCTAAAGAAAGAATTTAGTAAATGGATTTTAAAGTTACGATAGGGCAAATTGGGTAAAACATTTACAATATTTGACAGTATCAAAGATTAGTGAATGCATGGCTCATGCATGCATCACAGAGTGAGTATTGTTTGCATGTGTTTACGCCGAAAATAATTTGTTTACTCATTTGAGGCATCCGCGATCTC